TTATTATTGTTTACAGCGACAATTATTTTTAAGCAATATATAACTTTTTAATTGTAGCCGTCTACTAAATCTGAGAACGTTACGAACTTTTTATAGAACACTTATCGGGATTCACTCTGAATACAAACAAGAAGTTAAATAAATATTTAAAAAAGAAGGTAAAGGAAGGAAACCGCCCAACTAAAATAAAGCAAATAAATAAAAATAAAAATTGCACACATAACACGCGTCTTAGAGCTGTCGACGGTTTTACAACGAATAATGAAAACATAAATATCTTAGCGCGCTTTAAATCAACTCGAATATATTCCGATGTAAAGCTTTCCCAAGTTTTAGTTATACTTCCTTATATCTCGACATCTCTCTCAAACGCTTCCGCTACAAATTTTACATTCGCGCCATTATTTCAAAATGTTTCCTTATTATCCTGAAAGCTTCACATAAATTTGAAGTACAGCTAGAAATGGTTATGTGTATACGGCCCTCTTAAAAACCGGAAGAAGTTGTTTCATAAACGCCAAACGTTGTCGTTGGCAGCTAGAGTGATTATATAGGCTTCTTCACTTATTTTATGCAGCATTAGTGAAAATTTTATAAAACTTATATTAAAAAAGTTTGGGCTAATCATATTAGATTATTCCGGGTACCATTCACAATATAATTAAATATCTGTCCATATAACAAGAAAAACGTTAAGAAAATAACCTTTTTCTTTTTATATGTGTGCTTTTATTGTTTAATGTTAATTTGGTAGGACTTGTTTGTTGATATTTATGTTAATATGTAAATACAAATTGTTAACAAAACTGAAAAAATTACCTGTTGTTGGTAAATCTCATCAATTTTCTCTCATAAGACGGCTTTACACTTGTGCAATATTTATTTTTTGTTACTACCTTCTATACTAGAACTGACTTGAAACCATTTTAAGTGCACCTAAAATGTGCCAAAACTTTCGACAATAATTGGAAATTTTGGTGTAGTAATTGTCACCGAACTGTATATTATTTGCTTATGTGCTATATATTTTCTAATTTTTCTTAAACTCTTCCTATATAAGTACTAAATGTGTAAGTCTACTCTTTTTCTGTCTAACGTAAATTTGATGCAAGAAAACAAAACCGTTTAAGCACGTAAATTTTGAGGGCGATTGAGGGTCTCGTTAAAATATCTGGACGACCGAAAAGGGCAATATTTCAAATTGGATACGGAGCTATCTGAAAAACTTAAGAATATCCTACTATTCATTACAGATCCACAAATGTTTTAGAATAGCTGTCTAATTGAAGTGATGAATATTCAGGTGCATAAGTGAAGAATTAAGAAAAAAAATAACTTTCTTGTGTCACTCTGCATGAATTGCTATTATAACATATAGCGAAGGTACATACATACATATATTGTTGAACACAATAAGAAAGGTGTACATGATGAACAATTTTTCCTCCTAAAACATTTCAAAATCGTTTTTCGTTTAGTGGAGACCCCTCGCAACACTGATTTTGTCAAAATGTTTCTAAAATATCACCTATTTCTCGCATAATTTTTCTTAATGTTGATTATAAAATGAATTGACTAAAAGAGCGTTAGCCTTATGTTTTAATCAAATCCAAGACTCCTCTATACAAATAACAACATTTTAACAGTAAACGAAATCTGTCGAATTTTTACTTTTTAATTCACGTAAAAATTTCAAAGCGAAATATAAATCATTTTATTTTACCGCTTTGCTCTATTTAATTTGCCCCTTTCGGATATAAAACGACACTTTCAATTAATTTTCCACTAAATGTATTATTAATTTAATGTCGGCATAGAATATAATTTTAAAATGCGAATGTGAATTTTAATGGAAAATGTGTCCGTTTTGAGGAAATTTCTTGTTAATCATTTTATGTATTTATCAACTAGGCTACTGTTACGTTTGCTTTACTATATTGTATTTCTCCTGCTATCAGATTATTTAGCCAAAACTCCATTTAAAGAATGTTAAAATATATTGACTTTACGGCACTATCGTGTAACTGCCTTGCGAACAAACAAAGAGAACAGAAACAAACTATAAAAGGTTGTTGCTGAACGTGCGGAAAAAAATCTAAGAAAAACCGTTATCCAAATTAGCACCAGAAGTCGCCTGCCAACTCAATTGTGAAATTATTACACTGATTATAAATGAAAATTACCCTGCTTGGGTTAGCTATAATTAATCCAGTGTATTTTGTATAGCTGCTTGTTGCAAAAACTTAAATTCTTTTCCACGACATGTACTAATGGTGGAATTCCGTGGCAGATGGGAGCACGACTTCGGAAATTATTCAAATTCGACTCCCGAATAAACTTGATTCGGATAAAATGCAAATTCGACGGCAAAAATGTGGAGCCTTTGTTGACAACGCGAAGTTGGAAATTAACAAAGTTGCTCTAACTAATTAAGAAAGTACGGAGATGACCCCATGAGAACTCCGAAGTTTCCAGATCGCGGCTTTTACAAGCTTCCCGGGATCCTTGGAGATTATTTTAAAGCGCCCCGAGAATTATTTGGTTTGACAATTTTTTAATTTAGTTCGCGTATTATCCAAATTTCTTTAATTTCGGTGCTCTAATAATAATAAGTTAGCAGTAGTGTGAAAATGTTGTGTACAGGGAGAGAGAGATTCTGCTTTTAACTGTCAGCGTGATAAAAGTATATATAGTATAGCATATGCAGGTCACGAAAAACATTATTCGGTTATAGCGTTATTGTAAGAGATACACCGAGGATCTAGAATGTAAGAAAGTAAGAAAGAGACAAGAAATGTTCGCTGTCCGCGCACCCCCTGTCGTGTGACGGAGTAAGGAAAAACCGAGGCGTTTGGTTTAAGTAAAAGTGTCAAAAACTACTCGTGTTTTTTAAAAATAGTAGGATATTCGACCGAAGAAAGCTTCAAATTATTAATTATTATTTCTCGGGTAGTTCGCCCGAGAAATTATTGACAGATTTGAATTTTTGTTTGAAAATAGTCGAATTCATGCACATTTTACAATTTCACGGATAATTAATAATATTGAAAAGCATGGTGCTTTACTTAATTGTAGAAAATGCTTACAATCTTCTGTCGAGCGACTTGTTACCGAGCATCCCTTAAATCACCAAAGGTAACGTCGCCAGTTGGAAGTTTGCGCTTTAGCAAATGTAAACCTTCCTTGCCATAGTATTCAAATTTCTCGGGAATTTGAGAGAAAACTAAGAACAGTAGAGAGACACGCAGGAAATTTTACCAGCAAATCATGAGAAACACATGACCGAGGTAACCAAAGTGAAGATTTTTAGAGAATAATATTTTATTCACCGCTCAATCTTCATTTCCGTTACATGGTCATCATAATCCGGCAGTGGATGTTGGATATTCACAAGAGAACCAACGCATGTCCATTCATTTAAGGACTCAGTATAAGGAAAAGGTCAACGTATGAGCTGGTATTTTCCTTTGATCGGAATTTAAATTTAAATAATTCCAGCTGTTTAGGCTCCTAATATCCCAGGATTTTCTGAATGCCCTAATGGGCACAGTCGAATGGCCACCTAGGTCCCCGGATCAAGCACCAAATGATTTTTTTCATTCGAGTTACATCAGTAGGCGCACACGCCATCGTATAAATAATTTAGAGGAATTTCGTAGTAAAATATATTTTATTTTTCATGGCGGGTGGATAGTTTTGAATTGTACCAAAAACTTATCCCTGGCGGAAACGGAATCGAAGAACTGCCTACGATAATCGTATATTATAAGAACTGCGGAGACGTTTGGCAATATAGCAAAATATTTGCCTCTCACTTGGATGCTTGGATGTCACATTAATTACAATCCTATAACCGAATAATATTTTTCGTGGCCTGTATATAAGATATAAGCAATATCTAATATAGTATAGTGGTCCTAGTAAGGTAAAAATGTATGCATTTCGAGCGGATGTGCCTCTAAATTTTACGCACTAACCACATTTTTATATTAAACAGCGATCTCTACATACTTGGCTCATTTTCACACAACATTTAACGAGATATGAGCATATTTTGGCAAAATACTGCCGTAAAAATACTACATCTACTCTGAAAGATGTCGACTTGATGAACTGACATATTATTTTTTGAACGCCACATCGTCGCTTTGGTTTTATCAGAATAGACAAGGCGTCTGTGTATCCAGTAGCTATGTGTATAACAGCGACAAGTATGGAATTTGAAATATAATACTTTTTATATGTATGTACAGCAAATACTTTATTCAGTGCACCAGCACATTCCATAAATCCAAAACTATAGACCTAAATTAGAACCTTGAGATGTAAGATTTATGAAAGTTACAAAATGCTTTCTTGCCATTGTAAATTCTGTTGTCCTGTTGTAGTTTTCTAAAATCAAGCAGCATTCCCGTTTTTATTACATATTATATTGAAACTTTAAATTAATATTATGGCTAATGAATATTTAAAAATGTGCCCTTCTGCTTGGATACACATGTTTAGCTTTTTTCGATTATTTTTTAGACTTTCATTGGAATATCTTCTGATGTTAAAGGAGGATCCACATAAACACAATCATTAACATTTCCCTACAAAAGGAATCAAGTGGTGTTAATTCACATGTTCGAGGGAGCCATCGAATGAATCTGCTATTACCGATCCTTTTGTTTGTAATGGTTATATAAAAATTTTCGAACTTCTCCATGGTAATGCGGAGAAACTCCACTTTGCTGAAACCACATTTGTTTGATCTCGATGTTAACAACTTCTGGAAGAAGTTAAGGTAAATCGTTGTGCAAAAAGCTGAAATATCTAGGTCTCTTAAGTGGCTCGCGAAAAAAAAATTCACCAATAACCTACATTTAATAAAGACACGGTGTTGTCGAAACAATTGTCATGTAAAAATATATAATTTCGTGAAAATTTGAACTTTTAGTTATTATTTATTTTGATAAATAAATTTTCATCAAGTAAAACCCACCTCAGTTCAATGGAGCAATAACTTTGAAGTATTATATTTCAGACCACAATGGTTTGTTCTTGCACTTCCCGTAGCCAGAATGGATTAACTGTTGAATAAAAATGCATGTTATGACGATTAAATGCACCATTGCTGCGAAAAGTAGCTTCATCAGAAAACATTATTTTAAACCTACAATTTGTATCTGGCTCTATTGGTTCATTTAGAACGATGCAGACGTTTACCCATTGTTCAAAATCACGGTCCAGATGGCGTAGTTTCATATGGAACGTATGATAATTGTGTTTTCTAGTGGTGTGACTAACGGTAGATTATGTATCGCATAAGCTAGTTACTCGACGGCTACTGGACTGGGGATTTATCTTGAACTTGAAGTAAAATTTTCAATTCTTTTCCTCATTAGTAGCCTTCTGGTTTACCACTTTCCGTTTTTCATAGTCAAGATTAACACTAGCATCAAACCGTTCCATTCAACACTGCATAGTTATTTTTTTTTATTTACTGACACCACAATTAATTTTCTGAATTTATTTATTGAGTTGTCAGGTGAAATCTTGACATTGTCATTTTGTCATGTTCAACCAATTTTAAAGCAAGAGTTTAGACAGAAAGAAGGATAAATATTGGAAAAGTTAAAATAAATCGCAAAATATTAAAAATATGTAGGCGTATGATATATTTAACAAAAATTGTAGGTTTTTGCAACATATTTCAAAAAATATATATGCCGAGCCATTTAAGAAATCCAGATTTTTCAATTTAAAAGGATCCAAATACATTGCCTTAATTTGAACACCCTGTAGCATCTAATTCAAAGCCCGTTGCATCTTCGAATCTACGTTTAAAAATAATGGCGCTATCGTAGTTTTTTTGCGAGTGTGAAAACTACCGTTTTTATCAGAAAAATTCAAATATTGAAAAAACTGTGTTTTTGAATTTGAATTTTAAAAGAATTTAATACAGAATTTAAAAATAGGCTGTTTCTTTCAAAAAAATGTATGTTATTTTCGTCACCCTTTTGAGCCACCCTGACATTTTAACAATCTCTACAACTTTTACATTTACCATAACTATAACTTAACGATATCCATAACTTTTGAAACCAATGAGATACTTAACTTTATTGCTAAGTATTAACAGTATTAGTGGAAAGGATTATCATCGAGTTTTTTAATAACTACCACTGTCCTCTATTTCTGTGAAATCCTGTATATTCTCTACAAAATATGTACTTGTAGCGCTTCTGTATTCTGACGGTTAAACTTACGTAGCCAACCCTGGAACTAATTTCGTCCGACGTTACAGTTTTAAGGTCCATTAAGAAAATAACATATTGACACATATCCGCAGTTGTAATTCGGGTTTATGATCGCGCGCACGGCCTATAAGGACAAGGGAACCCTAAAAGTGTAGTAAAACGGCTCGATTATTGTCTATATCAGGTTTACTGGGCCCTTTAAATCTCATAAAACTGTACAGTTTTACAACCGGAAGGGACTCAAACGAATGCCCGTTCGCTATCTGGGATAACAATCTGACAAATTTACGTTGTAGCTCCGTTCACGAGCTAAAGTATCCTACTGGAACGGGGCTCGTGCATTCCAGAGATACTTATAAAAGAACCCGCGGAGCAAAACACCGAGAATAAATCAGCGGGTTGGTGAGAAAATAGTTCCTAAACCACACCTTCCATTGCGTTCCTTAAAATAACCCCGCTGATTTATGGAGTCTGACTGCATCGGTGTATTTTTACGTTGCAGCTAGATAATGCGCTATTTGCGATTTCTTTTGGGGAGAATAATGGCAAACACCTTATCGTATATTATCCTGGAAATGGAAACACGATAAAAAATTGTGGACCAAAGTTTGTTAGTTCCAGAACTTTCCGGAGGCAGCGGGAATATGTTCAAAAAACAAAATGCGGACCCCATCCAGTTCGTTTTTATTATTTGTCAAATTTAATCATTCTTTAAGATTTGTGGTGTATAGGGTGTCCGATTTGAGCAATGTACTTTCTTTTTGAGACTTGGAAAATAGGTCAATCAGATCTTGAATGGTACCTGTACCTTCATTTTTTTGACAGATAATTACATTTTCATCGGAAAACTTTTTTTTAATTCAAATTTTGAATGATATTGATATTTTTGTTCTCAACTATTTTAACTTTTTTGACCTTCGCAATAGAATTGTTATTAACTATGAATTATATTAAGATATTTGTTATCTACATAACATTAACTTGACCTTAACTTAATATAACTATAAATAACGGTTTAGGATCTCAATTTAAAAATCGAGAATGTGATATTTTTTATTGATCCCTAGCCAAAGCCTAGTTCGCTATTGAACTATTATTTCTATTATTGTATGCTCGAATCATCTGTCCTGTAAATTGGTGTTACACTTGTTGCTTGTTGCATGTACATGAATCTGTCAAACTCAAAGAAAAACAAGCATTTTGTTCATAAATATCTTTACAATCATCCTTCGTGTTTAGGATGGAAAGTATTATGAATATGGAACTAATTTAGACCAACTTAGACGACGATTATTAATTTCAATGTTACTTAAATCAGTTTTGTAAGAAAACATTTACGTGTGTTTAAAAAAAAAAGAAAAAAGGAAATAGTGACTTAATAAGTTTACCGATGTATTCGTGTTTCGCGAAAATGTACCCAAAAACTAACGGTCGTAGAAAAAGTATAGTATGCAACAAGTTAAGGTTTTCTAACGAAGGATCTCGTTTTTAAAAAACACTTTTTATTTTACAAATAGAACTACGAGGTTTTATTTAACCCGTTACAAGGAGAACTGGACGCAAAGTACAAAGTTGTTATATATATAAAGTTTTTATGCAAGCGTCGCGTCGCAGATACTGGGAATACTGAAGCTAGCATTTCATCAGCATATTCTATCACATAATTCCTCCCTCCGAAGTGGAAAACAACAGGGACGAAGGGTTGTTTTCGGAAGACTGGTCGTTCTTGGTTTTCTTGGAATCTTGCAGCAAATGGCTCTTGTAGATTTTCCATGCTATAACTATTAACAAGATTAAAATAAACATCATTCCTGTTGAAGTGGCGAGACTCCAAGTGACTGGATGAATTTCATAACCAATGTCGGGGATCGATGATTTCGCAGCTTCTCGTAGTTTTTTGATCGTATTGAGATCAATCGATTGTAGTTGGAGTGGCTGGTACTTCATATCGTGATGTTCCATATTTTCAATTTTAATGGGTGGCAGTGAGAATGGGTTTGCTTTAAAAATTTCTTCTTTATTCCAAAGCTCAGTATTTTGGGTTCTTATACCGCAATTATATGGAACATTGATTAGGCAGGCTTCTTCAATAAAAGCTATTTCTTTGTTTTGACAATTCATTTGTAATTTAAGTTTCTGTTCCGATGGTATTATCAAAACAAATCTACTAGTGATTGGTCGTATTATATGCGTTGAAACATTTACATTGACTACGTGGCAATTTTTGTTTTCGGCATATTTAATGAGGGTTGTCACACAATCACCGATGGGCTGGGTAAGTTGATTTTCGCAAACGTAGGTGTCTTCAATGATTGGGCAGATTGATTCTTGATATTGTTGCATGTCAGTGCCCAATATTAGGTAGGGTGAATTAGGTATAATTAAGGAGTGATTCACAGGTACTGGGAACAGGTGGAATATTTCAAAAATATCTTTAAGAAAAATCGGAATATGGACGGCAAAAATTATTTTATCTTTTGTAAATTTAACTTGTAAGTTTGCTAACTGATAATAATTATTTTGATTTTCAAAAATTAGAATTTGATCATCACCATAGAGAACAGTCAATTTAAAAATTATTTGTTCAAATTCAGCCGCCGATATTACTACAGGATGTAATGTGTTTAATTTCGCAAATGTAATGGCATTTTCTAAATTATCCAAAAAAGTTATAAAACTTTGGCAATTTAGAATTATTTGCATTAGTGTATTTTGAGCTTTAATGAAAGTAGTTATGTCAGTAATAGTTTTATTTGAATTATATTCAAAAATGTCTATATGTTTTTTAATAGCTTCTTGATTTTTCTGTAGAAGTGTTATAGTATCATTATAGTTGTCAATCAGCTGTTGAATCAACGAGGTTTGCTTTTTTAGTTGGATGTCAGATGAATGTTTACTACGCACAAGTTCTGTGATAATTTTATCGTATTTTTCTCCATCCTCTGAATCGAGAATGCCAAAAAGCCATTTCGATAATTTACCTACAACATTTATTAAACCTCTTTTTGTACGGTTATTAGGTTTTATGTTACCAAGTTTAAATTTTACTTGAGTAATTAAATATCGAACATTATTAAGTAAATTATTTCCATTAATATAGTGTACATTCTGATAATTATGTTTATTTGTATAGTTTAATGATTTTGAGATTACAGCGTAAGCGTATTCTAAATTACGTAATTGATTAAAAAGTTGAGATGTTTCTACAAAATGCAAAAATGTATGTTGATGTTGAATTATTCGAGCATTTCCTAAGCGGAAGGGGAGAAGTGGTGTTTTAATTGGGATAACTTCAATATCATTATTCGCTATCACTAATAACAGCGTAGCTGCAAGAAGGAACAGCGTTGTCCGGTTCATTAACCTGCGAAGAAGAAAAAGCTTTAGGTTTTTGGATCTGAGATTTATGAATTAGTTTTTTATTTTTTGTAATAATTTTATTCCCAATATCTTGATCTATAATAACAGGTTTTCTTCGGGGTTTGTCCTTACTACGTTTTGCTGTTTTGTCAGTAACGTAAACCTTTGTATTTTGTTTCATTTCAGGTGGATTTTCTCGTTTTTCGTTTTGTTTTTCATTTAAACGTATTTTTGTTTCTAACGATGTTTCGTAAATTTGTTGATAGATAGTTTTTAGTCTTTCACGTCTATCTGTGATATAATTATTTACAATGATTTCATCCGTTAAGTCAAAGGGATCTAAACCGTTTACTTTTCCATTAATAACGTCAAAAGGTTTTTGTTTTGTTACGCTATGCATTGATGAATTATAACCTATAATGGCGTATTTTATTAAATTTTTAGGGGCTTCTTTAGGTTCTTTTAATTTTAGTACCCTATACAGTTCGACAAGAGTAGAGTGAAATCTCTCTATTGGACTATTACTATTAGAATTGCCGGGAGTTGTAAAATGAATTGCAATTTTATGCAATTTACAGAAATCTAAAAGCAAAGACGTTTTAAATTCCGTACCATTATCACACGTTATTTGTTGAGGTAGGCCGTGATGACTTATAAAGGTCGCTAAACCGTCTAAGATAGCAATTGCTGTGCAAGCGGGTTCTAACGGATAAGCTTGGGCGTACCGTGAAAATACGTCTATAATTGTAAGAAATTTTACGTTACATATTTAAAAAGTATCCATATGGATGGATTCTAATGGTTCAGAAGGGGTCGGTGTCAACATAAACTTTAATTTTGGTGGATGTCGATCATATTTTGTTTGTTGGCACGTGTC